AGAAATGATAAAAAAGAGAAAGGCAAGGCCAAAGGCGCGGCAGTGGCCCTCATTGCCTTGTGAATCCCAGACACTTTTGGGAAGCCGAAGGATAGGAGAGAGTCACGAGGGTCAGGGAAGATCGGAGCCCATCCTGGCCGTAACCCGGTGAAACCCCCAGTCTTACTGAAAAGACCACGAAAAAAATTAGCGGTGTAGTGGGGCGGGTGGCCTGTAGTCCCGCTACTTGGGGAGGGGTGAGGCGAAGGAGAATGGCGTGGAAAACTCGGTGGTGGGGCGTAGGTTGCAGTTGAGCCCGGAGATCACACGCCACTGCACTCCAGCCTGGGAGACAGAGCGAGATTCTTGTCTCAATCTAGAAAACAAAAAAAAAGAGAAAAAAAAAGGCGAAACATGTGGAAGTCCTTGAGTATGTGCTTCAACCGTAAGTAAGAGGAGTAGACTAAGACGAGAGAAAAACGAGGTGACACCGAAAAGGAAAGCTCAAGATCAGGACGGAGGAGAGATCGGTGAATGAGTGGTAACGACACATTCAGATGCGAGTAGTAAGTGGGGGGCATCAGTGATGCGTTTTGGGGGAAGAGTCTGTGGCCGACACAGAATAAATGGAAGAAACCTGATATGTCTGAATGTTCTGAAAGATAGATGTTAGGAAAGAGTAGCAAAGACTTGCTGGGGGTGAACTGGGACTAAATATGCGGCAAAGCTAAGAAAAAAGCGAAAACAGGAGGAAATGGAAGAACATCTAAGGGAAAAACAAATTTTTACAGGAGCACCTGGCCAACACTGTACACATTTAACTAAATCATTACATAACCATATTAGAAGGACAGGGATGAGATGGTGTCACGTGTGGTGAGAGCTGGAAGTTGGGAGGAAATGGGAACTGGACCATCCTCTTTCATAGTGGGAAGTCACTAGAAAATGTCTGAAACTGAAAGAAAAAGAGATCAAGAAGCAGCAATGCCAGTGTGTTAGAGACCTGGGGGCAAACAACAAATAATTTGGGCAGAATAAGTAAAATGATTGCCTCTGTGGAGGGTTAAATAGGGTGAGATGGGGCAGGTACCTTCTGGGTTTTATATCCAGTCTTTTCTGTGTTTCACTCTTTATGGGCTTGCCTATCTTTGAAAGAAATAACAAGTTCTTTAAAAAATAATCATAAATATGATCCTCCCTTTCAGCTGATGGCCTTTGGCTTGGGCTTTCTAGTAAGAAACCAAACTTGAATATTTACAAGGTATTGGACCTAACTCTAAATCACGATGCTCATGACCAAGGCTGCTGTTGACTGACTGCTTACTATGTGCCAGGCACACAGGACTTTAACTCATTCATTCTGAAAACAACTCAGGAAGAGAAGTAAGACACACACAGAAAAACGCAGGCTCAGAAGAATAAAATCACTTGCTGAAGCTGGGATTTGAACCCAGGGCTGTTGACGACAAAGCCTGCCTTTTTTTTTCTTTTTTTCTTTCTTTCTTTATTTTTTTTGAGACAGAGTCTCACTCTATCACCCAGGCTGGAGTGCAGTGGCTGGATCTCAGCTCACTGAGATCTCCTGCCTCAGCCTCCCGAATAGCTGGGACTACAGGCACCCGCCACCATGCCCAGCTAGTTTTGTATTTTTTTAGTAGAGACGGGGTTTCACCGTGTTAGCCAGGATGGTCTCGATCTCCTGCCTTCGTGATCCGCCCATCTCGGCCTCTCAAAGTGCTGGGATTACAGGCTTAAGCCACCGCGCCCGGCCTTTTCTTTTTGTCTTTTTTTTTTTGGGAGACAGAGACTCACTCTGTCGCCCAGGCTGGAGTGCAGTCGCATGACCTCGGCTCACTGCAAGCTCTGCTTCCCGGGTTCACCCCATTCTCCTGCCTCAGCCTCCCGAGTAGCTGGGACTACAGGTGCCCACCACCATGCCCAGCTAATTTTTTGTATTTTTAGTATTTTTAGGAGATGGGGTTTCACTGTGTTAGTCAGGATGGTCTCAATCTCCTGACCTCGTGATCCGCCCATCTCAGCCTCCCAAAGTGCTGGGATTACAGGCGTGAGCCACCGTGCCCAGCCCCCGTTTTAAAATACTGTATTATCTTCTCTCCCAAATGGGTTTCTACAGTGAATCCTCCATGATGGAAAAAATGCAACGAACCAGAGGTCTGACTCTGGGGTCATTCTGGATAACGGGCTTGTAGAACATCTCACCCTCCTGTAGCTGGAAAAAAGGAAATGGAACGGAGGGTCCTGGTGACTTACAGAGTAGGTGACGCCGCTTGAAGACACAGGGGACACCTCGTTGGCAGAAGTAGTCACAGCCAGAGAAGCCAGGGCAGGGAAGAGACTTTCCATCTCAGGCTCCTCCGAAAGGTTGTCCTCGCTGTCTGCCTGGCCACGTTTCTCTGCCTCGCTGCTCCTCCAGCCCTCCATCACGACATCGTCCTTTTCAGGCAGGGCCACGTCCAGGCTGCCCGTGATGGACATGAACTCGTCCATGCTCTCGTTGGCCGGGAGGTCGCTCTCCAGGCTGTCCTGCATGGCCAGCTCCTCCCGGGGAGCCTCATCCTGGGATGTGGTGGCCTCGCTGCTCTGCCTGTCATCCACGCTGCCATCCCGAGGTCGCAGCACCGGGGGAGTGTTCCGATGGGCATCCAAGACACTGTCTTCTGTGCTCAGACTGGGCTCCGAGTGCTCTGAGAGGCCCGAGGAGAAGTTATGGGAGGAAGGATGACCCGAGTCTGGGGAACAAGTGCCATTCACTAGGTTCCCATTGGGGATCTTGGGCTGTTTCTCCTCCAATCTGCCTTCAGCCTCCACCTGCTCCACCTCATCCACAGACTCAAACACCTGAGGACAAGGTGCACAAAAACAGATGGACCAGCATGTCCACTGCAGCACTACTTACAGCAGCAGCCTAAATATCCAACTACAGGTGATCGGCTTAAATATGGATCAAGCATGCACTGGAATGCCACACAGTCAGTGAAAAGAGTGAGGCAAAGTAAAGTGTAATGTATGCTCCTATTTGTGACGAATAAGAAAGTGGTCTAGGCTGGGCATGGTGGCTCACGCCTGCAATCCCAGCACTTTGGGAGGCCGAGGCAGGCAGACTGCTTGAACCCAGGAGTTCGACACCAGCCTGGGCAACATGGTGAAACCCGGTCTCTGCAAAAAATACAAAAAATTAGCCTGGTATGGTGGTGCACACCTGTGGTCTCAGCTACTTGGGGGGCTGAGGTGGGAGAATCACCCGAGCCCGGTGAGTCCAGGCTTCAGTGAGCTGTGATCATGCCACTGCACTCCAGCCTGGGTGATGGGAGTGAGGCCCTGTCTCAAACAACAATAAAAACGTATTCTATGCATAGAATAACCCAGAAAGAAACAAGAAAGTAATGCAGTTGAGTCTGTTTGGTTTTGTTTTTTGAGATGGAGTTTCTCTCTTGTCGCCCAGGCTAGAGCGCAGTGGCACAATCTCGACTCACTGCAACCTTCGCCTCCCCGGTTCAAGCGATTCTTCTGCCTCAGCCTCCCAAGTAGCTGGGATTACAGGCGCCCCCCACCACACCTGGCTGATTTTTGTATTTTTAGTAGAGACGGGCTTTCACCATGTTGGCCAGGCTGGGCTCGAACTCCTGACCTCAGATGATCCGCCCACCTTGGCCTCCCAAAGTGTTGGCATTACAGGTGTGAGCCACCGTGCCCCGCCTGCAGTTGACTCTGAGAAGGGGATACTGGGGAATCAAAATAAGGTGAGACAATAGCTTTTCGTCATATAGACTTTTACCATGTGTACATAATTTTATTTTTATGTATGTACGTATTTATTTAAGATGGGAGTCTCGCTCTGTTGCCCAGGCTGGATGGAGTGAAGTGGCATGATCTTGGCTCACTGCAACCTCTGCCTCCTGGGTTCAAGTGATTCTCCTGCTCAGCCTCCCAAGTAGCCGGGATTACAGGCAAATGCCACCATGCCCAGCTAGTTTTTGTATTTTTAGTAGAGTCAGGGTTTCACCATGTTGGCCAGGCTGGTCTCGAACTGCTGATCTCAGGTTATTCACCTGCCTCAGCCTCCCAAAGTGCTGGGATTACAGGTGTGAGCCACTACGCCCAGCCTCATGTACACATAATTCTTCTCATTCAAAAAATTAGTTAACACACGGAAAAGGCAAAACAAAACAAAACAAAACAAAAACAAAAAAAGAAACAAAAAAAAACCCTATTACTTTTACACCATGCGGTTGACTATTATGAATCAATTTTTAAAGTTAGATAATACATGAAATACTATGAAAAAAATCTCCAGAATACATTTGAGAGATTTTTTTGTGATTTTTTGTGTCCTTAGGTCATATCAAGGGTACGCAGTTAAAGATCATGTTCCAAAGTCATTTGAAATATTTCTTCCCTGCGTGTTTATGTCACCAACTTGATCTATGGTTAGCTTCATGTGCTTCTGTGTTTTCAAAAACCTCTTTTTGATTCAATTGATTTAAATTATGTAAAAAATTTACCTAGCTTCACAGCCAGAACCAGGGGTTTTTTTTTTACTCCAAAATCAAAATTAGGAAACAAGGCATATTCAAGGAAATGTAGCTTCTGTCTCTGCCCCCTCCTTTCTTGGTAACCATTCTGATTCGTTTCTGGTTTCTCCTTACACTGTTCTCCAAAATGGAGGCAAATATATACAGACATTAATATTGCCTCTTCTTACGTAAAAGGTGACAACACACTATGCATGTTTTAGCACTTGGCTTTGTGTGTGCATGTGTGTGAGACAGGATCTCACTCTGTCGCGCAGGCTGGGGTGCAGTGGCGTGATCATGGCTCACTGCAGCCTCAACCTCCTAGGCCCTGGTGATTCTCCCAGCTTAGCCTCCAGAGTAGCTGGGACTACAGGCATGCACCACCATGCCCAACTAATTTTTTTTGGTATTTTTTGTATTTTTTGCAGAGACAGGGTTTGCCATGTTGCCCAGACTGGTCTTGAGCTCCTGGGCTTAAGCTATCTGCCTATCCTGGCCTCCCAAAGTGCTGGGATTCCAAGTGTGAACTACCTTGCCCAGCCAGCATTTTTCTTTAAAAACGGAGTGAGATTGAGTCATCTCTTTTCACTGATTGAAATGGAAAGTTGTTGAACAACATATATGATGGCACTTAAGTACACTTTTTTTTAAAAACTATCAAACACTGCTATAGATTATCTACATATTTCTGTGTATGTACAGGCGTGCAGAAGGTTTTGAAAGGAACACAGCAAACTGATGATAGCGGTGTTATTTCAAAGGAGGGCAGGCAGAGATTAAGGATGATCAAAGCAGACTTTGACTTTCTCTGCAATGTTTTAGTTTTTTGCAGGGGTGATAGATCCATATATTTCTTGCATTACTAAAACAAAAAACAAAAAACAAACAAAAAAACAATGTTTAATGCTAATATAAAAAGCTAAAACAAATGAAGCAAAAAGTGACCTACAGATGACGGACACCCAATCCCCATGACCCCAGGTGGAAGGGAGAGGCGTGGGTGGGAGGGGGTGGGGCCTCCACAAGGTCACCTGTGTGCTGCTGCTGGAGTCGCTGTGCAGGCGGATGTTCTGGTGGCCCGAACTGCAGCTCTGGGAGGACTGAGAGAAGAAAGAGCGGGAGGGAGGGAGGGTGAGGCTGCACCCTTGCCCAGAGTAGGAAGGACTGCTGGACTGGGAGCCCAGGAAGTCTTGTCTCATCTCTATTCCTAACTTGCACAAGTCCTCCCTCAGAGCATCAGTTTCCTAGCTGTAAAATGAAAGGGGGGACCACTCCCTGCTTCCTGGGGCCTCTTCAGAGACCCCTTTGACCTCTGGGTTCCCACCTCTCACCTCTGCAACTAGAGCACCCCGCCTTTAACTGCTCTGTAATTGAGACTTCTGGCTAATATTTCCGTTCAACTCACAGAGTAACTGGTTCTATTAATGGTTCCACTTTTTTTTTTTTTTTTACCTGATCCCTGTATACATGCTTCTGCCCTATAAACTCATAGTCCTTGCCTACTCTAACACTAGACGTGGTCATGTTGCTTGCTTTTGTCAATAGGATGTTAACACACTTGATTCAGCAGACGCTTAGAACACCCTTGTGCATTTCTGCTTTCTCTCTGTGGCATCTGCCTTCACCGTGAGAGCATGTCAAGGTTCATTTGCTGGGCAGTGGGGCACGTGGAGCACAGCTGAGTCACCCCAGACAAATAAGAGAGCCCAACCAAGATAAACAAATGTTTTAGTTGACCAGCTACGGACAGCCAGTGCCGGAATAAGCCTCACCCAGCTCAGTGAAGAACAGACCTTCCCAGCTGACCCACAGAGTTGTGAGCAAAAATAAACGCTGACTGTTGGAAGTCACTGATTTTTGGTGGTTGTTTGTTACATGCTGTTATTATGGCAATTGATGACTGATACAATCACTGGTGAAGAGAATTAACTTTTTTTTTTTTTTTTTTTTTGAGACGGAGTCTCGCGCTGTGTCACCCAGACTGGAGTGCAGTGGCGTGATCTCGGCTCACTGCAAGCTCCGCCTCCCAGGTTCACGCCATTCTCCTGCCTCAGCCTCCGAGTAGCTGGGACTACAGGCGCCCGCCACCACGCCCGGCTAGTTTTTTGTATTTTTAGTAGAGACGGGGTTTCACCATGTTAGCCAGGATGGTCTCGATCTCCTGACCTCGTGATCCACCCGCCTCGGCCTCCCAAAGTGCTGGGATTACAGGCTTGAGCCACCGCGCCCGGCCAATTAACTTGTTTTTTGAGAGGGAGTTTCACTCTCGTTGCCCAGGCTGGAGTGCAGTGATGCAATCTCAGCTCACTGCAACTCCGCCTCCCGGGTTTAAGTGATTCTCCTGCCTTGGCCTCCCAAGTAGCTGGGATTACAGACGGCTGGCTAATTTTTTTGTATTTTTAGCAGAGATGGGGTTTCACCATGTTGACCAAGGCTAGTCTTGAACTCCTGACCTCAGGTGATCCACCTGCCTTGGCCTCCCAAAGTACTAGGATTACAGGAGTGAGCCACCACCCCTAGCCAGGAATTAACTTTTTTTCTGAGCTCCTACTTTGGGCTATTAAACTGGAGGTTCTGGGAGGACAGACCAGTCTGTCTGGGTCACTGGAACATTCCTGATATCCCAGGATATTCCTGATAGTACCTGTACATAGTAGATACTCAATAAGCATTTGTTGAATCAATGAAAGTCAGGCAATGTACCAGGCACTTTATATACATCATCTTGTTTGGACTCTACACAAACCTCCTCTACACCTGATTATTCCCATTTTACAGATACAGAAAACTGAGGCCCAGAAGAAAAGGTACTGGTAGGGAACCCCAGAACTACTAAATGGTGGGACTAGAGTTTGAACTCAGGTTTGATTCCAAAGTCACCCCACACTCTTAAAGAAAAAGCCAGGGGTGAGACTGTCACCAGGCCCCAGATACCCAGTCTTCACCACTCTTAGAACAGCCCAGTGAAGCAGACTCTGACCTTCCCCAGCCCCCACGCTCCCTGAGGCCAGCCGCCCATCACCTCGTTGCTGATGGTTGAGTCCCTGTGCAACATCCGGTGCAGGTGGCTGTCCAGGCTGGCCCCAGATGAGCATTTGGCCAGGGCGGCCGCATGGGATTCCCGCTCCCTCTGCCGCACGATCGCCTCGCAGCCCAGCCACTCGGCCATGGTCTGTGCGTAGCAGGCATGAATCTGCTCATCCACCTGCCAGGGCAGATGCAATGTCACCCGAGGTGTCAACAAAGGGGCCCATGGGGAGGGCCAGGGCAACCTGGAAGAGAGTGGCTCTGACCCATCCAACATTCACGCAGTTAACATCCAGCACATATTAACTGAGCACCTACTATGCTACTCCTAGCACTGGTTAGGCTCTGAAGACACAGAGGGAGCAAGGCTACTTCTTTCTTTATTTCTCTCCTTCCTTTATTCATTCATGCACACATATGTACATTTCAACTATTGAGTCCCTACTATGTGCTAGACAGTACACAGGCCCTGGGGATATAAAAGTGAGAAGACTGGGCCGGGCGCGGTGGCTCAAGCCTGTAATCCCAACACTTTGGGAGGCCGAAACGGGCGGATCACGAGGTCAGGAGATCAAGACCATCCTGGCTAACACGGTGAAACCCCATCTCTACTAAAAAATATAAAAAAAAAAAAACTAGCCGGGCAAGGTGGCGAGCGCCTGTAGTCCCAGCTATTCGGGAGGCTGAGGCAGGAGAATGGCGTGAACCCAGGAGGCGGAGCTTGCAGTGAGCTGAGATCCGGCCACTGCACTCTGGCCTGGGCGACAGAGTGAGACTCCATCTCAAAAAAAAAAAACAAAAACAAAAAGTGAGAAGACTGCTGCCTCTTTCCTTTCTTTTTTTCTTTTTTTTTTTGAGACAGAGTATTGCTCTGTCACCAGGCTGGAGTGCAGTGGCGCGATCTCGACTCATTGCAGCCTCCCGGATTCAAGGGATTCTCCTGCCTCAGCCTCCCACGTAGCTGGGACTACAGGCATGTGCCACCACGCCCAGCTAACTTTTGTATTTTTTTTTTTGGTAGAGAGGGGTTTCACCATGTTGGCCAGGATGGTCTTGACCTCTTGACCTTGTGATCCGCCCACTCAGCCTCCCAAAGTGCTGGGATTACAGGTGTAAGCCACCGCGCCTGGCCAAAAGTGAGAAGACTGTTTCATTCTTTTTTACTACCTTCCCTCTCTCTTTCCTCATTCATTCATCTATTCGTTCACTCATTCATTTAATTTGATAAGGACCTATTACATGCCAGGCACCATTAGCCATATGGAATACAAGATGAGCAAGATGCTGACCTTCCTCCACTCATCCACTCAATCAACATATGACCTGAGGGCCTTCCATGTGCCCCACATGGGCTACAGGTGCTGAGGATACAATACGAATAAAACCAACCCTCTTCCTTTCCTTACAGCAATGGCCTTACATAAGCGCCACAGATTTTCAGCTTTTTCCTTGTGGGATTCAACCAAGAGGTGGGGAGCTTCCACTGCCCCTGAGTGACACAGCCCAGGTAACAGGCTCTGCGTCTGCCAGACCTCTGGGCACCATGGGGACAGACAGGCTGATCTTGGTAAGGAGAGGCAGGAGGGGAAAAGAGAGGGTGGGGAGCTCGACCCTCTCCTATGGTTACTCAGGACTTCGGGAGGCGGACTCAGGGTCCATCCTGCCCAAGGGCCTCGCCTAAGCCGCTCCCTCCTGCCCACCTCCCTGAGACTCCTCCAAGCCCTACGCACCTCCCAATTCCCACTGCCATCCTAGGCCAGGGTTACACCACTTTCACCTAGATGCATGGCCCCAGCAGCCTCCACCCAGGTCTCTGTTGCAGCTGGGCCCCTCCGATCCATGCACCACTTAGCAGTCGTGATCCTTGTTTCCCCTCCAGCCTCCCCTCTCACTGCTGCCTCCACCATCCTAGTCCTGGATGTCTCAGCAACTCACGCCCACCATGCCCTTCCTGCCCCTCTCTAAACCCACGTGGACACACACCACGTCACGCTGGTCTCCCTTCCAGACCTCTGCCTGTGCTGTCTTCTCTTCCCTTCTTCACCCTCTTGGCCTGAAAAGTAATTCCTTCCGATAATATAGGAACAACCAGCTCCTCCAGGAGTCTCCTCTGACCGCCTTCCCACCTGCCCGGCTTAGGTGCTTCCCATGTGCTCCTGCAGTCCTTGGGGCTGCCTCAATCCCACCAGGGACCACCACAACCCCCACAAAACTGGGATGGACCTCACCTAATGCGCTTCTGCGTCCCCAGCTCTGAGCGTGGGGCTCTGCACATCAGAGTTGTCAGTTACTGACTGCCCAGGAAGCCATCAGGCATGGGTGAAGTGTGGAGGGGCCTCACACCAGTACTGAGATGAACAGATATTTCACTGGCATGGGTCCTTATAATACAGAACTACAGAAACTTTCTGCTTTCAACTCTCCTTCAACTTTTCTAATTACTCCAGGGAGAAAGGGCCAGTCTGGGGCTCCTGTGCTTCCCACACTTCTCGATACTTTATAATCTCCCCTCCATCCTTTATTTACTTATTTTTTTAAGATAGGTCTTACTTTGTCACCCAGGCTGAAGTGCAGTGGTGCAATCATAGCTCACTGCAGCCTCCAACTCTTGGGCTCAAGCAATCCTCCCATCTCAGCCCCTGAGTAGCTAGGACTATAAGCACATGCTACCACGCCCAGCTAGTTTTTAAATTTTTTGTAGAGATGGGGGTCACGCTATTGTGCTCAGGCTGGTCTTGAACTCCTGGCCTCAAGCAATCCTCTTGCCTTGGCCTCCCAAACATAATCTCCCTTTTTAACAAAGAGAGGACAAGCCTTAGGCAGGCTATAACATCTACTTAGAACAGAATTGCACCATTTAGTCTTACTCTATTTTTATAGTTTCCTTCTATTCATGGCCAGTTATACTGGCTTCCTGTTTATGGCAGGGATATAAAATATCTTTTAAAGTAAGTTGTATAAATCTTAAGTGAGTCAATTTAAAGACAAATTTAAGTAAATAATAGTACAAGTGATACAAGAATATAGAGTGTAAAATACCACCAGATTTTAGGCTGGGTGCGGTTGGCTCACGCCTGTAATCCCAGCACTTTGGGAGTCCAAGGTGGGTGGATCACAAGGTCAGGAGTTCAAGACCAGCCTGGCCAACCTAGGGAAACCCCACCTCTACTAAAAATACAAAACAAAAAAAAACAAACTAGCCGGGCGTGGTGGCAGGCGCCTGTAGTACCAGCTACTTGGGAGGCTGAGGCAGGAGAATCGCTTGAACCCAGGAGATGGAGGTTGCAGTGAGCTGAGATTGCACCACCGCACTCCAACCTGGGCAACAGAGCGAGACTCTGTCTCAAAAAAAAAAAAAAATACACAAGCAGATGCAAAACCTGGTGAAATTCTAGTAAGGCCTGCAGTCTAGCTACTTGTATTGTGTCAGCGTTAACGCTCTGCTTTTGACAGTATACTTTAGTTACATAAACTGTTACCACTGGGGAAAGCTGGGTGATGGGTATCTGGGACCTCTGTTACTATTTTTGCAGCTTCTTGTGAACTTATAATTACAGATGCTTCTCGACTTATGATGGAGTTATGTCCCAGTAAATGCATCATAAGTTGAAAATATCTTAAGTCAAAAATCCATTTAAGGCCAGGCGCGGTGGCTCATGCCTGTAATTCCAGCATTTTGGGAGGCCGAGGCAGGCAGATAACGAGGTCAGCAGTTCGGGGCCAGCCTGGCCAACATGGTGAAACCCCGTCTCTACTAAAAATACAAAAATTAGCTGGGCGTGGTGGTGGGCACCTGTAATCCCAGCTACTTGGTAGGCTGAGGCAGGACAACCACTTGAACCCAGGAGGCGGAGGTTGCAGTGAACCAAGATTGCGCCACTGCACTCCAGCCTGGGCGACAGAGCCCAGACTGACTCCGAAAGACCGAGACTCTACCTCAAAAAAAAAAAAACCAAAAAAACAGAATATGAAAACATTTAAAATTACACATGTGTTATAATAATAAGACAGAGTGGTACTGGCAGAAGGATAGATTCACAGATCACCAGAACAGAAGGGATAACCCAGAAACAGACCTACAAGTATGTTCCCAACTGTTTTTTTGTCGTTTTGTTTTTTTGAGACGGGGTCTTGCTCTATTGCCCAGGCTGGAGTGCAGTGGCGTGACTTTGGCTCACTGCAACCTCCACCTCCCAGGTTCAAGCAATTCTCCTGCCTCAGCCTCCTGAGTAGCTGGGACTACAGGCGCCTGCCACCCTGCCCAGCTGATTTTTTTTTTTTTTTTGTATTTTTAGTAGACGGGGTTTCGCTATGTTGGTCAGGCTGGTCTTGAATTCCTGACCTCAGGGGATCCACCCGCCTCAGCCTCCCAAAGTGCTGGGATTACAGGCGTGAGCCACCACAGCCAGCCCCAACTGTTTTTGAACAGTGCAAGAGCAATTCAATGGAGGAAGGACATCTTTTCAACAAATGATGCTGGAGCAACTGAAGACCCAAAAGCGAAAAATGAACTTTGACCTAAAAGACACACTGTGTGTGTATATATATATATATATATATATATAAACTCAAAAGATTTTATGTCAAATGTAAAATAGAAAATTTTTAGGATAAATCATAAGAGAAGATCTTCAGGACCTAGGGCTAGGCAAAATTTTCTTAGACTTGACACCAAAAGCACAATTCACAAAAGGAAAAATTGATAAAACTGAGTTTCATCAAAAATTTAAAGATTTGTTTTGCAGAAGACCCTGCTTACAAGACGAAAAGTTACAGACTGGGAGGAAATATCTGCCAATCACCTATCTGAACAAAGGACTGTTATCAGAGTATATAAAGGACTCTCCAACTCCACAGGAAAAAAAAACAAACAATCCAATTAGACGGTGGGCAAAAGACATTAGCAGACATTTCACCAGAGAAGATACACAATGGCAAATAAACACATGAAAACATCTTCAACTTCACTAGCCGTTTGGGAAGTGCAAATTAAAACAATGAACTATCAATTATCCGTGTCAGGTGGCTGAAATAAAAAATAGTGACAAGACAAAACTCTGGTCAAGATGCAAGTGTGGATCATTCCTATTTTGCTGGTGGACACAGAAAACGGTATAGCCACTGCAGAGGTGTGAAAGTTTATTTTCTCCCCTTAGAGACAGGGTCTCCCCATGTTGCCCAGGCTGCACTAGAACTCCTGAGCTCAAGCGAACCTCTTGCTGGGACTAAAGGCATGTGCTACAGTGAAAGTTTGTCAGTTTCATATAAACATAAAACTGAACACACAACTACTGTATGACCCAGCAATTACATTCTTACTCATTTATCCCAGAGAAATGACAATTGATGCTCATACAAAAACTGTACACGAATGTTCATTACAGCTTGATCTGTAACAGCCAAAAAACTAGAAACAACTCAGCTGTCTAGCAACAGGTGCTACAGCCTATCATGGAATACTACTCAGCCATCAAAAGGAATTCACTCTCGATACTCTCAACAACTTGGATGAGGTTTTATGCTGAGTGAAAAAAGTCAATCCCAAAACGTTACACACTGTATCATTCCATTTATATAATATTCTTGAAATGATAAAATTATAGAAATGAAGACTATAGTATTAGTGGTTGCCAGGGATTGGGGCCAGGATGTGGGTACGGGGGAGGTGAGTCTAGCTATAAAAGGACAACGTGGGGTTCCTTATAGCATCAAAAATGTTCTGCATGTGGGCTGTGGTGATGGACACAGATCTACACACGTGAGAAAACTGTAGGGAAACACACACACACACACACACACACACAAATGAGTACAAGTAAAACTGGGAAAGTCTGATTAAGATGAGTATATTATACCATGCCAATACTCTGGTTCCGATATTTTACTACCTTACAGTTTTGCAAGATGTTACCATCAGAAAAAAATTGGGTAAAAGACGCACGATATTTCTCTGCATTAATTTCTTACAACTACGTGTGAATCTACACTTAGTCCAAAATTTAAAAGCCTAAAAATTGCATATGTGGCTTGTGTTGTGTTTCTATTGGACAGCGCTGCCTTCAGGTTCCCATCTTTCCCGTATCTCCCTCCCCTTCCTTTGTCCAGCATGAAACCAGCCCCACAGTATCTGGCTCCTTTTGTTGCGAAAGACCCCAGTGCCCATGGTGGGTAACCGACCTCTTTCCTTTCTGTTTCCGTCATCCCGAACTGGTAGTGGCCCAGGAGGAAGGGCCACACGGCCTTGCGGATCTCAGGCTGGATGCCCCCGTAGTAGATGAGGCGCAGCAGCTCCCGCTCCTCGTAACTCTGTGGTGGGTGGGGAGGAGCAAAGAGTTTGGTCAACAGAAAAACAGGAGGTGGCTTTAGTAGAGACGGAGTTTCATCATGTTGGCCAGATTGGTCTTGAACTCCTGACCTCCAGTGATCTGCCTGCCTCAGCCTCCCAAAGTGCTGGGATTACAGGTGTGAGCCACTGCACCCAGCCACCCTGAGCTATCTTCTTTTTTTGAGACAGAGTCGCTCTGTCACCCAGGCTGGAGTGCAGTGGTGTGATCTTGGCTCACTGCAACCTCCGCCTCCCAGGTTCAAGTGATTCTTCTGCCTCAGCCTCCCGAGTAGCTGGATTACCAGTACTTGCCACCACATCCAGCTAATTTTTGTTTTTTTAGTAGAGATGGGGTTTCACCATATTGGCCAGGCTGGTCTCGAACTCCTGACCTCACGTGATCCGCCCTCCTTGGCCTCCCAAAGTGCTGGGATTACAGGTGTAAGCCACCACACCTGGCCACCCTGAGCTATCTTCTCACCAATATTCCTCAACTCCTGTGCACTTATCCTTCTAGAATACTAATTGGCAATGCCCTAACTGTATCATTATGATCTACTTCCATGATCTACCTGGGGGTATGATCTACTTCTATGATCTACTTCCGTGGTCCAGCAGTCCTGCTTCTTCGACCTAGCCCTCAGATATCCTGGCGTGAATAAGCAAAGTCATAGGCACTTGGGTATTTGTCGTGGCATTGTATGAAAAAATCAAACCCAGGCAACTCTCCAGCTGCGCATCGATGGGTGAACATGTGTCCCTACATTGGACAGCGCTGCCTTCAGGTTCCCATCTTTC